ACTTTCTCCCCATGCCATCATCCTCCAAGATGGAGGATACAAAAGAAGGGGTGGGTTGTGTGGTGGTGGTTCCTGGAAAGCAAATACTGCGTTTCTGATTCCCTAAAAAGGCTGGAAAATGCCTGGATCACGTTGTTAACATCACCCATAATATTTTCCTAAAAGCAAATACTGCAGCTTCTGACTCCCTAAAAAGGCTGGAAAATGCCTGGATCACGTTGTTAACATCACCCATAATATTACCTGTGTATTTCCTTTTATGTGTCTACTCTATTGAGCTGCATTTGTGAAAGAATCATAGACTATCCTGAGCTGGAAGGGACACCGAGGGATCATAAAGTCCTATTCCTGACCTGACACAGGGCAATTCCAAGAATTACATCATGTGTTGTCCAAATGCTTTTTGAACTCTGTCAGGCTTGGTGCTGTGACCACTTCCCTGGGGAGCTGTGCCAGTGTCCAGCCACCCTCTGGGTAAAGAACCTTTTTCTTATATCCATCCTAAACCTCCCCTGATACAACTTCAGGCCATTCCCTCAGATCCCACCACTTGTCACCAGAGAGATCAGTGCCTGTCCCTCCTCTTCCCCTCATGAGGAAGTTGTAACTACAGTGAGGTCTCCCCTCAGTCTCCTCTTCTCCAGGCTGAACAGACCAAGTGACCTCAGCCCCTCCTCATACAGCTTCCTCTCCAGACCCTTTGCCATCTGTGCTGGCCTCCTTTGGATGTTCTCTAGTACCTTCACAGCCTTCTTATTTTGTGGTGCCTAGAACTGCACAATGGTACTCGACGTAAAAAACTAGTACAGGGAAAGACTAGGAAAGTCCTACAGGGAAACCTAGGATATCAGCTGCAACTATTTGAAATATATGCAGTTTGAGTTCCTTCTCCCTTTAAAGGGTTTCTGCTTACCAACCTCACTACAGAAGAATTTAGAAAATTACAACTAATGAACCTCATCTAACATGTGCAATTTCCAACACCAGCACTATAAAATATTCACTTGCACAGCCTTAATGCGCATCTTACAGATCATGTCAAACAAGAAAGTGGAACAGACCAATATATTAAGTCACCAGATCTCTGTCCTCCCCACAGCCAAGAAAACAGTTATGCTGTGGCTTTTTGCAGCTGAACACAACACAAAAGCAACTACTCCAGCTAAGGGGAGAAAAAAGGACAATGATAAAGGAAGAAATATAAAAACAAAGAACTTTTCTTTCCACCCGCCTCCAATCTCTTCATTTTAAGGCCCTCCCAAGACACACTTCCTTTCTTTTAGACACCAACAAGCTCATGGAGGAGACATTAATTGTTAGTGCCTAATGTGAGTTTTCAGCACATGGTGTATTCTTTGACTAAAGGTTCTACAGGTCAGCTACGTATGTAATGGACCATCCCTGTTGTTTTGTTTTAAACTTGGCTCTGACTACATAATGGCTACTTGCTAATTTTTCCTCCTCCTCTCCCCCCAATGAAATAATATGGCAGCAATTTTCTGCTCACAGACTGTGTTCTACAAATGCATCATTGTTAAGTCTCCTCTCCAAGTTGTCTTCTTTCCCTCAATTGCTTGACTGAACACTTCAGCTCTCTAGATTTTTACTATTTGTAACAGAAAATAACTCAGACACTTGTAATTCAAAGATAGAAATATAGTAGTAAAAGATCTCAAAATAGACAATAAAGCATCCTCAAAAGCCCCACCACATCCAGACCTGAATGCATGACATTTTTAGAAATTATTCATGCTTTTGCACTACTCTTCTAGCTATTAGGATCAATATGATTTTTTACACCACCTAGTCAGATTTACAATCAAACCTACAGTGGTCATATTTTACAGTACTTCATTATTCACTCCAAAAATGAAGGCAAGCTTTAAACCCTGACTTTAGGGCTTATACATTTCAGGAAAACGAAAAACCCCACACCTTTATACTAACTTACTCATATTCAACCTTTCAGCTTCCCTCTTTCTTGACGTGATAATACGGTTTATTTACATAAGCATCCAGTTTTCCCTAACTCTTGCTCACCAAACTGGTGGCCAGTACAGTTCCCCCAGCCTCCAGCTCCAAGGCCTGTTGTCTTTTTTTATTTGCCCATTATTACAGTTTCTAATCTTCACATAAAAATACTTCACACAGTTCTTTCTCAGAGTTTGTACACTCACAAACCAAGCTGACTCTCAGCTCTTCTGCTCCTGAATCTACAAGTGTCGTGTTCCCTACTACTCCAATAATAATGGAAGTCCCTTCCAGTACCAAGTTTCAAACCTTTTTTCCAGAGCTGTCAGTCTCTTGCCTAATCTTGCTGTGAACACCTTTAGCATTTTATCTCCTGAGATAAATCAAGGAAGTTTTATTCCTCAGAATCTGATCTTTAAGAAAGAGATGTTACATTTATAGACCATTTTAGAGGATATAATTATATAAGCACAATTTAATAATTATGAGTCAGTGTGGATATGGAAAGAGTAAATCATGTTAAAGAAATCTGGTTACTTTTAAAAATGAAAAACATTATTAGCCTAGATAAACCAAGAGTTCTGACTTAGCTGGGGTCTTAAAAAGGTTCAGAGGAAAGTCAAAATGATGGATCATTGTTATCACTAAGAAAGCTTTATTGTGGATGGAGTAATTCTTTATTAAAACTTTTCTCCCAATATCAAGCATTTGTGACCCAGCATTCACATCTGAAAGTCTGTATCCTGAAGTCTGACTCTTTCTCATCCTTGATGGGTTTGGGTTTTTAGGGCATCTGTTTTTCCTGTAAGACTGCAATAAGTTCAGTTGACTCCAGATCTGATGCAGTTGCCTGCCTTGATGTTTGAGCAGTACCAAGGCATCATTCTTTACCCAGAAAAACAGGGGATTGGATGGAAAATGGAAAGGCAGCTGCTGAGAAGTGAAATCTCACAGGATTGTAGATTAATACCAGCAGATTTTCATATTTTATTCAATGGTCTACATAAATCTGGAATAAGTCAGACCATTAAATTTGCAGACGATACTAAAATAAGCAGAGTATTCCAGACCCAGAGGAATGCAAGAATAATCCTGCCATTAACAAAATGGGCTCAGAGGTGAGATAGGAAATTAAGTAAGTATTCATTTAAGGAAATGAAAATTGACACATGTCAGTAAAAATAATGTTCAGGACACATACTGAGACACTTACAACTTAAATTATACTAAGGTAATTAATATGTAAGGAGAGAGAAAGTTATGAGCTATTCTTGCATTGCCATTCATAGTTTTAAATTCTAAGACATGACCCCTGTCCTAAAGAGATAACAGACTGGCACAGACAAAATAACACACTGTCATTTAATAGAGTAAGAAAGAGTGTCTGCCAGCACAGTCTAGAAAAGAGGAGGAGAGCCCTCTGGACCTGCTAGTCACTAAGATGCCTCAGAAAAGTGACTCTCATGGCCATCGCCACATTTGACTTTTGCTATTTTCTTATCTACAAATTTATGTTTGACTAGAAGCTACTTCAAAGCTACACAAAACGTTTTAAAAAGAGAGCCTTCAGGTATGAAAACAGAAATGTTGTATTACCAATTATTTGAATAATAGTCAAGAAAACTAAATGCCTATTTCTAAGAGGAGGCAAAACCACTCCAGCTGGCAAACAAAAAAATCCCCAAATCCCAATGGCTAAAAGTAGGCCTTTAGCTATTTCTTAAGGTTGCTGAAGAAAAAAGGTGTGAGAATAAATCAAGCAGAAAGCAAGCAAGATGCAGAGGAAAGGGCAAAAAATGGAAAAACTAAGTCAAGAACATAACAAAACAAACCTGCTGGTGAGCTAAAGACAAAGACCCTTTGCCCTAGTTCACATCAGAAAAAAAAGCAACCCCCAAAACATCCCAAGAAGCACCAAAATACTTTTAAAGTATATAATAAAAAGACTGTAAAAACCAAAGTTGTTCTTTATTAATACCACTGTAACAGCTTGTCATAACACATACCTCCAGAGGGGAATACCCCTTTCATTCCATTGTACTAGTGAAAAGTCTGAGGAAGACTGAAAAAACTCCTCACAATTTCCGCATTGAACCATCAACATTAAGGGCAGCAGGGTACCCTGCTGTACTTGGTTTAGCCTAATTTCCCTGTCTGGTCTATTAACAGCCCAAATTAATTAAAAGTATCTACGAACATGTAGAGATTTGGTTAGACCTATTATTTGTTAAAATTTGAAGAGCAAAATTTCAAGGAAAAATAACAGCAGTGTTAACAGAGGGAAACTGCCAAGGTCATATGATTCATTTATGTAGGAGCTTAGCAACAAAGGAGAGCTGTGAAATACTGTAATAGCAATAAGTCAATGGATTAACACAGCATCAAGCAACATCCTGAAGGAGGTCAAAGTAGTAAACAAAATGAAATGCAGTGATAAGAATGAAATAAGGGTGTTCAGTTTTTAGCAGTATGAAAGTCTGAATGAATTGTAAAGGACCCACATCTCACAGCAATATAAACAAGAGGAAGGGAAAAGATGCTAGTTTTACCTCAGTTAAAAAGAACTGAAATAAATTTCTATTCCTTCTTAAATCAAAAATTTTGTTGGTGTCTTTCCTAAATAAAGGACAAGAACTATGATTTTTATAAATAATGTTATCCTAAAATATTTAAACAAAAAGTAGAACAGTTACAGGACATAACAAAGTACTATTTATGTTTCTCAGAAAACAAAATAATTCATCTAGGATACACTGCAGTGTAAAAAAAAACAGTGACTCATAATGGTAAGCAAGCACTCTGTTTCTCTGATTTAAGTTTAGAAAACATAGTTGATAAGTTTGTGAAAGAATTACAGTAAGTGTATCAATGTCAATCAAGTCAAAGGATATATAAAAAATACACTGTATCAGGAAACATTGTTCCACACAAATGAAGGGCACAGTCTGTGATATAACTGGAATAAAACCTGTTAAAATACCACAAATTATAATTAGTAAAGATAAAAATTCATTTAAATATAAACTTACTGGATATCAAACCCGTTGTGAGTGAAGAGCATGCTAGGTGTCAGGATGATGGAACCACACTCTGCAAATATGACTGCATCATCTGTCAGGAACATCTCCTTGCTGCAAGCACCAAATTACATCTGCAAAATATTTTGTCTTGATCACATCTGCTGGTAAATATCAAGGTCTAAGCTTGTATATGAATTTACAAGTGATGACATTAATAATCTAATTTAGCAATGATATTTCCTATGCAAATATCTGTAATGCCTCAAATGTAATACCAAATACATGAAAATACCACTTAATAGCAAATGCCAAAATTGTGGGTTCAATTTCTGTATGGGCCATTCATATTCAAGAGCTGGACTCCATGATGCTTGTGGATTGCTTCTAACTCAGAATATTCTGCAATTCATCTGTGATTCAGCTACTATAGAAGATGGAAGGCACTCAAGAGCTGAAGTCTTTATTCCCCAGTTCTTTTGGTTATTTTGTGTCCTGTAGCAGTCTCCCTCACCCCATCATGTCACCCATGCACATGGTTGGGCCTTCAAGGTGTCTGCACTTAAATGCACCCAGTCTCAGTGAATTTTTACTTAGTTGAGTAATTCTGCTTTTCTGTTGGCAAGAGATGACAAGAAAGAAAGCATCTACTTCACTTCTTTCTCTCACTTTATTCCACAGGAATGCATGTTTTACTCTGTTTAGGACAGAAAGGGAAAGCAACTCTGATACTACAGTCTACTACTGATACTCTTACCAGCTGTTGGGAAGCAATTTCAAAACATCTACATTCAAATTTTATTCTAAATTTATTGATGATTACTTTTCCCATTGTATCTTAGCTTCCTTGCCAATTAATTTATTGGCTTCTGTTTTTCAGTGTTTAATCCCTGAGGACTCAAAGGTTATATGGAAATCGACCTTTTATTCTCTCAGGTTCTGGTGTGCACCCCAGTTGTGTTTTGACTGCCAAGAACTTTCTATCCTTCCCCCACTATGGCAGGTGATTATGCCAGACTGAAAGCAGTATTGTGTCCTCAATCTGAACAAGAGGCATTCCCTGTTGATTCCAGCTACCATGCAATCTACAGACAGCCTGGGGAAAGCAATATTAATGCCTCTAAGCTTCTGGCTTATTTCTTATAAAGATGACTCCTTCTACAGTCTTTAAATAGCCTTTTTCACCTGTTTTTGCACATATGTGACTGGAACTGTCTCTAATATTGAGGTAATATAAAGAGGATCTCATCAGCATCTTGCAAAAACAGCATTAAGCCTTTCCCCTCTAACAGGGAATTTCTTATTCCACACCTCCTCTTTCTCAATCCTTTAGAGACCCCTGGAACTGACTAGCAAACCCAGCTATTCCTTCTCAATTACACTTAGTCACTTGTCCTTTGAGTTAGCAGCAGGTTTTTGTCATTAGCCTTTCAGTGGATGACATAGCTGTTCACATTACTGGAGTTCATTAAATTTCTGTTATTCTATTTATTTAAGATTATACTATATCCAGATATGTCTGTCTTTCAGCTTTATCAGCTAATTTTCATTTCTGCACTCAAACATTCTGTGCCAAGGTAATTAGAGAAAAGTTAAATAATAATGACCCCAAGACTGAGTCTCTTAAGAGTCTAATATTAACTCCCATGGTGTTTTTATCAGCTTCATCCAAGAAAATTAGAACAGGTGAATTGTATGAGAGCAGAATTTCTCTTTCACCTAATTGCTTAGGGAAAGTATATGATTTTTGTGTTGAACAGCCCATGAAAGATTTTTTTAAAATTATTCCATAAATTCAAGTATTTTTGAACTCTAAAAACATTTTTTGCATTAATAATATTTTACAGCTGTAAAGTTCACAGTTTAATTGTGTGGTAGGTGGACTCCACTTTCTTTCAAACCTAACATCCTATAACTTCATTTGATGTTACCAAATTTTTTCAATATAAAGAAAGTTAAGGAGCATCCCTTTCTACTTTTGATTTTATAAAACACAATCATATTCCTTTTCATGAGGGTGAAAAGACCTATTGTATTTAGTTATCCATTTTTTCTGTTTCCTTACATGCTTTATTATTACTGCATTTACGACAATCTCTCTCAAACATTGCAGTAATTGTTAAAGTAATGATAAATAATATACTGTTCTTGTCTAAAAAAAAAATCACCCCATGGAGAAGTGGCAGCAATTTAATCTAAAATTACCTTGCTTTTGTTAATAATTTTACTGTTTTTCCTATTTACCTGAGCACTTTAAAATTCTCCTCACTTCTTAAACACTTTTGAATTCTACTAAGGTCAGATTAACGAGCATCAAATTACTTTAATTGTTTTCTCTTTTTATCTAATAGAAGTGCAGTTTCTGTTGTTCTCCTGGGATGAGAGCATCCTTATTATTTCATTATTTTGGAACACTAAATAATGGGTGCCCAAAGCTGAACTCATTAAGCTTACCTAGGTTTTTTCCAAGAGTTATTTCCTTTTTATATATTTAAACTAATGAATTTTCCTCATTTGCTTTCATGTTCTATGTCTTTCTTCAATTTAAAACTGAAAGAGGGCATCCATTTGGATATATAGACATACTTTTAGAATTTATTTTCCCATTCCTTTTACAGCTTCCGAGCTCAATGTTTTGGAGCTCTCAATTGATCTTTACTAGTGTAAAGCTTCCTAGGTAAAGTTTTCTTTGCTGATGAGTTCTATTTTTCAATTCTTTCAGATTCACTCCTAAAATATTTTTATAACACAATTATTCATTTAGTTAGGTTTTTATCTTTCCCTGCGTATTTATGTTCTTTATTCTGTTTATGTTAATAATAATTTGTTTTATCTTTGTAAAAGCTCTTTAGGTGCCATTGGGAGGGATCATTTCTTTAAAGCTGTTCCTTTCTACTAGCTTGCCTCACCATGGATCTGGTGATGTATGTGAACTAGCGTGCTACCCCTACAGGCTGAACAGTGGGGAAAGTGATGGAGCAGGCATCCAGGTGGCTCTGCCCAGAGCTGTGCTCTGTCACAGCTGAGATGAAGGTGCATTTTAATAAGACAGGACAGGCTCAGCCAGGATGTCTCTGTTCTGTGCTCTCAGTGCACAATGTTCCAAGGAGCTTATCAGCACAGCACTGTACAAATCGGCCTGGAGCCTTTCTGTGTTTTATGGACCCAACTGCATGATGGAAGAGCAGAGGTCTAAATACCTTTTCAGAGTCTGGCTGACAAGAGTCAGGTATATTAGAAGCTCCTGACCATACCAGAAAACAGATATAGATACATATATAGAATTCCCTTGTGATACCCCATCCCTCTGTTTCTTACGATCTTACCTGCTAAGTACCCAGCAGACATATTAGCGAATTTTACTAATTTAAACTAAATAAATTCCTCCCTGAATATCTATCTTCAAGCTTAGAAAATTAATCTTTATGTTTCTAGTATTCACTCCTTATATTCATTTGCGCAACTGAAAACACTGTTCAGCAGAGAGAAGTGACTCTGCAGTGTTTGCTCACCTGAATTATGTAATGAAAACTGTCCATAAAAGTGAAATGGACACAGTACCAAACCAGGATTATTTTTAGGTAACAATATTTGTACAGAAAAGTCACAAGATGCTAACTAAACTACGTAATTACTTCCTATTTTATTCTTTTACAGACAATCCAAAACCACCAAAGAGTATGACAGAAGTCCTCTTGAATAAATGAAAGGTGTGATTAATTTGGATATATTTTCATTACAAAAAGTGTCTTTACAACATCATTAATATTTCATTTTTCCTGCAGGCTCTGTAAAGGCTGAATAAGAATGGAGAACAAACCACCGGCTGTAAAAATTGAACATTTCTCACTCAGCAGCAGGAGAAATGGATGTGATTTATATGAAAACAATAACTGCATTATAAATTATTTTATGTGGTATATTCTGGGGTTTAAGCATAGAAATCTGCAAAACAAGCAGTTCAGAAAACAGTAAAGTAATTTGAGGCTTGCCAAGTACTTTTGTGTTAAGATTGTTTGAGTCAATTACGTTTGCTATTCTAAGACCATACTTCACCTTTTCATTTCATAGTAAGTTCCCTGTCTGACTAGTTCCCTGACTGATGTGTGGATTTATTACCATAATGGAGTGAAAAGGATATAGCCATGATGCTACTGGGGAAGACAATCCAGAATAAATAAAAGCAAAACCAAATTTTAAGATACATGAAACAGTATCAGGAAGTACAATCCCATTTTAACAGGAAGTACAATCCCATTTTAAACCTTTGGCTTCTTGAGAAAATAATCTTTCATTAAAAATCAGAATAAACTGAAATCAAATCACATGCAAAAAACCCAAACCAAAATAAAACCCTAGCAAGATCTATAATCTGAGGCAAGGAAGAAACCTCCTGATTCTTTTACAGGGAATTCTTTATCATATTTTTGTGGATAAAGAAGAATCCAGGAAAAAGCCCCAAATTCACAATTTCCAGCAAATTAACATGAAACTTTCATATGAAGATATTCATCATGACCCAGATGTGGATGAAGAGAGGTGGCTTGAGGAAAATTTGCATTTCTCCAGTGTGCGCTTAGAACTCTGAGAGTTCTCAGGAGAATAAAGAACAAACAGAAAGGAAAGGTCTTGAAGAAGTCCTGAGGACTTTCCACAGCACACTCTCCTTGCACATTTCATATCTCCTAATTTCTCGTAGAGATTTTGTGAGGTAGCATTACTCAATGCCTACTCTTTACACCAGGGACTGACTGCTAGAGCTGTTTCACAGTGCATATATATTTGAAAAAATGTAAATACATTAAGTAATTTAGTGCAATGTAAATCCACTGGCCACACTTACTAATTGTTTACCAATCTTACACTTCTAGAAAAGTCTAGAACCCTTGTTGTGAGCTCTAAACAGACACAAGCCATATTCTCACTATAACCCATGAAGATGGCTGCTTATTCAAAGCAGAGCTAATTTAATTCCAAATACTCTGGATGGCTGTGTCCCTTTGACAGCAGAGACATCAGACATCATTGCTCATGAGGAAGGCTTGTCAGGTCTTTGCTGACTGGCTGACTGCTACTGTACCCACTCTGTTAGATTGGGTTCCGTTAATACTTGTCAAAGTCTTGGGAACACCTATAGAGAATTCAATCAGATATTGCATTTGTTTCACTTTGAGGTTACAGCTTTAGTGATGGGTTCGTTCTAAACAAACTTCAGACAGCTGGGGAAGTTTCTTAGTACACCCAATCTCAAAAAAGAGAAAGGCACAATTTTCTTCCTGAATCTGATTTGAACTGCTGCTTTTTTTTTTTTCATCAGTATTTTCATTCTTCTGTATGTTTTGATGACAGATATATATCTGCTTTTGTTTGAACCGAAAAGTTTATTGTCCAACAATTTTGCTTCTACTAATATACATTAAGATTTTTTCCCCCAAATATTATTCTTCAAAGCTCCAATAGATGTCACTATCAAAATATGAAAGAGAGCTGGTTGCGTAATGCAGTCAAGGGGAAACAGCAGGGAAGCCTCACTCGCTGGACTGCCTCAAATCCCAGCATGAGAGCACAACTCATTAACTAGACATCGAAGTGAGCAGCTGCCAGCCATAGAGTGCATGTCTTTTCATTCTTTAAACCCTCACTGTTAGATCAAAAATATCTAATAGTTTCACTGAACATGAAAGCAACACTGAACCTACTGGGTGTTTGGGCTAATAAGCAGTTTCCTGTTAGGTTTTTTTGCTCTCTGCCCATTCAACTTTAAAAAAATGACCTATCTTTTCTTTAGCCCACTTTGTACATTACTATGCTGTGTTTTACAAATGCTCATTTTTCCTGTTAGTTTGAATCACATCTGGAGTAAGTCTGCTGTGAAGCTTTACTACTGCTTTTGGAATGACATGTCAAAACATGACAGCACTGCTTGAAATGGATAAGTAAAGCTTATAAGTAAAATTATTTCAGAGCTATTTGCCCATACTACAGAAATCTAAGCTTTTTTACTGACCAAGAAGATACTTTGTTCTTTTATCTAACTCTTAAGTCTTTGGGAAAAAACTCCACATGCTTTCTGAATGAATATTGGAATCTTTCATTGTTCTGAACAATCTCTTTTTTATGCTTCTTGAAAGAGGAGGTAAACTCTATACCTCTACAATATGATGTTGAGATGGCTCTAACCCTCCTGCCTTGGAAAACTATCTTAAAAAACTAAAACAAATAATTTATTTATTTTTAAATAAATGAAAGACATGTAGCCCCTAATTATTGGGAACACACCTGAGAATGGGATACTTCCCATATTTAAAAAACCTTATGGCCTTTTCTATAAATCTCTGCAAGCTTGTATGGTGAATGTAATTTTGAACAAGTAGTAAAGTATTTTCACTGGTGCAAGTTTGTCCTTGTGTCAGGACCCATCCCCCAACTAAATTGTACCACAAGATGTCAGTGCAAACAATTCCCATATTGGTGGCTCCACATGACTTGCTTGTGAACCTTGTTCCAGTTTAAAATTATTTTGAGCAACAAATATGCCCAAAAGGTTTCCAGTCTATTTACAAGGAAATAGCTTAAGGATGGAAGAGAAGAACTGAATAGTTTGTTGCAGGATGGCCTGTCCAGCCTAGATCCCCACTGTTTATGTAGGAAGTCTTCTTCCTTTGTCTAGAACTCCAGACCTATGCATTAATTCAAAGACTCAGACACCTAACAGGTCTGCTAAAGAGAAGTCTGTGGCTACAGTCTAGGGAACCTTTGTGTTAGAATGTAAATATCTTTGTAAAAAATTATGCCTGAAGCTACAATAAGCTACTACATTTACCTTTTAAAACATATTTTAAAACAATTTGGCTGAGCCACAGTTTAATGAGCTTAGGATGTGAGAGAATTCAATGAGACAAAAAGAAAAAAACAACCAAACACAAAGGTCAGCACAGCTACTCAATTTATGTCAGCCAAAGATTGGGCTCCTTTTTAGTGAAACACTGTAGGAATAAGACCAAGCTACCGCTTCTCTCTCATCTACCTATTTTCATATTTTTGTATTCCAAGACCACCTTTGATTTGGAATATGGGAACCTCCATAAGGTGTAAACATTGGGGCACACTGGAGACCACCATGTATGAGCACACACTACAGGTTGCAAGGTTCCTTCCCAGCAGCAATGACATAACCTGAGTACACGTAATTTTAAATTAACTTTTAGGCAGCACAGCAAGTGCCTTTTCCATTTGCTTTTTACCTGCTGTTTCTTGTGAGGAGGAGTTATTCTTTCATCTCTTATTAATCTTCTCTGGTGTGCTACTGACAGCAGGAAATTTATCTGTGATACTCTCTTCATTTTAGACTCAGTTCATTAGAGAAAAGTAGACTCCAGGTACTCACACATGGTGTCTAAGCAGTTTACTTGAGCGACCACCTCCAGAGATTCTGTAAAATGGGAAGACAGAAACCAGGTTTCTGTTTAAACTGTTACAGCATCCCTCTTGAATCTTAAAACAATCTTGCATAGGTATTGCATCCATAGGGATGGTACTAGGGTCCTCAGCCTAGCTGGCTTTCCTTTCCCCATTGTGTCTTCCCTGTAGGAGGTGTAAAAAAGGCACTGAGACCTTTCAAAGAATCCAGGTGAAGCAAAGTGAAAATCAGCATTCTCCAATAGGAATTGTCTTAGCACAAAAATTCATTAACAGGATTTTAATAATCAGATTTTCTCAAACACCGGGAACACAGGATTTTACCTAGCCTATAATGGTGAAGAGCCTTGAGAGGAAGCTGGATGAGGAGCAGCTGAGGCCACTTGGTTTTTTCAGCCTGGAGAAGAGGAGACTGAGGGGCAACCTCATTGCAATTACAGCTTCCTGTGAGGGGAAGATGAGGGGCAGGCACTGACCTCTTCTCTGTGGTGACCAGTGACAGGACCCAAGGGAATGGCCTAATGCTTTGTCAGGGAAAGTTTAGTTTGAATATAATAAAAAGTTTCTTCGCCCAGAGACGCTCTGGGCACTGGAACAGGCTCCCCAGGGAAGTGGTCCCAGCACCAGCCTGACAGAGCTCCAGAAGCATTTGGACAATACCCTTGTGCAAATGGTGTGAGTTTGCAGGGCCAGGAGCTGGCTCTGATGATCCGTCTGGATCCCTTCCAATTGAGCATATTCTGTGAGTCTGTGATTCCATACTTGCTATAGAGATAAAGAAAATAATGTCAAATTCACAATGATCACAGCCATGAAAGGCTGAAAATTTTAGGAGGACTTTTAATGCATAGTTAAAAAAAATTAGCATATCTTCTCCAGACAAGACAATAAGAAACAGAAACCATGAAAGGAAAATATTTTTCAACACAATTTTAGCTCACTTCTCCTAAGAAGCTGTTTCCTAGGTGAACCAAATGTAAAAACAAAGCCATGTAGTGTTAGTATTTTGCACCTTTTAAACCTTACTGTCTGCTGAATATGTAGTCAGTAAAAACATGTAGATTATGACTGCAGGTACCCAGAAATTACTGCAGTTACTAGAGATCAGTTATCTTCTGGAAAACACAAATCTTCATCTACATATCCCATTCTGTCAGAATTCAGACATAAATCTCTACATCTTAGAAACCAAATGCATATCTGCTAACCAGACAAGCTCAAGGACTCAGGCACTATAAATTCTGTTTCCCTGAGATCTCCACAACAGGAAAATGGACCTTATAGTTGAATATTTTCCACAGAGTATATTTAGACTACATAACTACATTTTCCATAAGTTCCAGAAAACCTTCCAGAAAAAACAAAAACATCCCAGTGCACATTTTTGGCAAATTTGACTGAGCTCAGACTGCGCAACTGAAATAAAAAGCTGAATTGCTTTTACATATATTAATAGTTATATTGATTAATATTTCATAACCCTTTTTAACACTTATCAGTCATCACTACTGTTCCCCTCTAAAATCTTACTAGAAGACGTCTCTGATTTCTTCAACATACCTACAAAAATTACCTTCATAGCTACTACTCTGTGTCATACTGCCTATAATTTTATTGTTTGTGAAATACTCTCTAGAGGAAATATTACTTGAACTTTTATTTATTCTGAAAAGTCAAAAGGAAGAATTTTTTTTAAATAATGGTATTTCAGCATCCACAAAGCAAAAGTGGTTTCTGATGGTGATTCACAATCATTGTATACAACCCTGTATATTCATCATTATAGAAAAGAAAATTACAGCATGAAATGTGCTAAATTACCCTCTTTAGTGAATGTATTTATCACAGCTACAAGGTCTAGTGGTCTATCTTGCTTAATTTTATTATCTTGCATGTAAGTGCAATAGAATCTGATAGGACTATAAAGACTTGTATTGTGAATATATGTCAAGTCTTCAAATGCACCAGCATACCATTTCATCCTCTTTATTCAAATATTGACAGAAAAATCCCTGATATGTAGAAGAAGACCCAATTGCTTGTCACTTATCCAAGACACAGCAAAACAGAGAAATTCCTAAACAGGAAAAGCCCAAAGAAAGCATAATAGTAACAACCATCACCAAAAACAGGCCACGGGAACTCTTTGTGGACCATCTCCTCTGTCATATTTGTTCTTATTAGATTTCTGTCTTGAATGACAGTGACTTCGAGCTGTTCACTTCTGTGTCTAATGGGCTTATAATTGCAATAGGTTTTTAATCAAACTGTCCCTGTCCCTGCCACGCCAACAGGGACTGCAATAACCTGTGCTCCTTTCTTGCTCTGCAAGTTTTGCTGCTCAAGTCCATCTGTGCTTCCCTGCCTGGAAATGCTGAGGAGAGAGGTCAACTCACCTTAAATAGGCTGCTTGACACGGTACAATGCCCTTCTCTGGCAATGCTCAGATACCTCTCAGCCATACTCACAGGTGAGCTATTTTGCATGTAGCATCATAAGAGCTGATTAATTCCTCCGGACAAATACCACAGGTCTCCATAAAGAGGTGCAAGGAGGAAGCCATTAGTAGAATACAGCAAGTTTTCATGATCCTATAATACCTAGGACTGTGTTAGCTAAATTCTAACTCTACCACTGAGCTCTCTGGCAAGGAGAAAACCTGGGGAAAATAATACTGAAGAGTAATTCGTCTCCTGTAGCACAAATAATTGATAATGGCTCTTCATTAATAAGGCCATTTATACACATTCTTTAGTCCAATTATCAGGCATGATTAACCATAATAAATTATAGGCATGAGACACTCATAGATTTTCTCATGAATAATAGGAATATTGTTAGCAAAGAAAATGTATTCAAGCATATATCTTACTATTGGCCATGAAATCATGAAGACATTACTTTTCTCTTACAGCTATATTTCAGACAAAATAATTAATATATAAAATAAAACCAAAGGTGATCTGATCTTCAATGACTGACTTTGTTCCCAGAAACTTGCCTTTAATTACCTTTAATTTCTTCCACCAATCCCTGATCATCAGGCTTTCCTCTGTTAGACATCACCGTGAAATCTAGTTAATGGTCATGGATAGAAAACTGGGAATACTTGAGGTTCTACAAAAATAAGTACACTGCTACATACCTACACTGCTGCAGAATATAACACTTTACCTTCCCTCAAAGTATTTTTTTTTTGCACTGTGATTAAAAGAAGAGCAAAAATAAAATCTTTGCTTTCAGAATGATTAAAGGTAGTGAGTCAGCCATGAGTCATGAGCAGAGAGAAGGTAAAGTGCTGTTAGATCTGAAATCACAAATGCTGCTACGTGAGGCAAAAGAGTAATGCCATTATCTTCAAATAACAGGCTCATGACCTCAATGCAGACAGACAGCAGCAAAAGACATGATCACACTCAGTAAGTTAATAACCTATTCTTTGATCTAAAAAATTGCAGTTCAATTGTCTTACCGATTTTTCTTTCCCGGCAAACATCTATAATTGTAATTTATGTGCTGATAAGTACTTGCATTCAAGGTTTGTGGAAAAAAACATAAGTAGCAGAAAACACCACAAATTCCATAGTGTTAAAATGTTCCATTATTGTCTTTATTAATTTAATCTCTTTTTAATCAAACATTGTTATTATTGGGCTGTATCTAAAATCAGCAGGCTAGAAAATGATCCACAAGAACTGTAGTGGTACATCCTGGAGCAAAGAGACAGTGACAGCTAAAGCATGGTGCTGAAGGGACAAAAAGTAACTACACGGAATTAATAACAAGGAAGCAGAAGAGCAAGTAAAAACTGAGAAAAGGACTGAGCCATGTTACTGGAATGTAAATAGAAAATGAATCATTAGAGGAAACTAGGTAAATATAAGTGAAATAAATATAACAATAACAATGTCTGAGCAGGTTTTTTTTTAATATTAGAAGACATCAGTCTGTTGACTTACAGGAGCAGTAAAGAAAGTAGGCACCTTTAGGTAAGTATTGGCTCTCATCAAATAGAAAATAATAATAAAAAAAGTAAAATATTTATGGATATATAATATAATATGCCACTATGTACCTCCACACATAACAAACCTAAGGCAAGAAAGGAGAGGATATTTTACAAAGATGAATAAACACTAGAGCAAGAAAGAGAAAAATGGTGAGAAAGAATAATGGAGGAAGCAGTAAAAATATATCAAGGGGTGGGGTGGAGAGAATTCATTTTGTATCGCTTTTCTGTGCCAAACCATAAACACAAGGACACTCAGCAGTTCATTCTTACTCAATGTTTCCACATTTTTCTGCTGTTTTCCATAGGTGGGGCAAAAAAGACAAAGAACGGAGCCAAGCTTTCCATTGGCCTTGATATTAATATGGAAGTGCTTCTCCAGCATGTGAGATACCTTATTTTGGCTTTATGTTGTGGTTTGTACCTCACTTTCAAGTGTGGCACTTTAACACTTGTTTTCCCTATAGAAAGAGAAAATCCTGGAAGTCCACAGTACCTCTCTTGTTTGCTTTGCCCCATCTGCTGGGGTTGGAAGGCAGCAGGATGAGGTCTGTGTGTGCTGAGAGTTATTGAGGGTCAGGGCCCCTCAGAGAGCTGGCTTGTGGTCTGCTTTGTTTGAATTCCAAACTGAATTGCTGGTCACACACCAGCAGGGAACCAGGAAACCCAGCAGAACTCTGCCTCATAGGCACTGTATATGCCTGTGCTGGAAACAGAGGTTTTATGGAAAAAAGGTAGACCAAGAATAGTTTTTTTCCCATTCAGCATTAGTAATCCCATGCTTAAAAACCATGAGTCAAGCCTCATATAATCACTGGGGTTTTTTAAAAGGGAAATGTTTTAAAATATTAGTGATTAAAATCCTGTTTGCCTTTTTAGATTTTGAACTTTGCATAGGTCTTCTTTTCAGCAGGCAAAAATATTTATTTATTGACACAATTTCAGGTGCCAGAGTTTTAAGAAAAACTTAATGTAAGGGCAACATAGTTTACAAAATAGGCAATGTTTTGAGTATTCTCTGAGAGTTACTATTGTTATTGATGAACTACATTGCTAAGACTTTGCTTTTTTTGGTCACAAATTAAAGAGCAAATAAGGAAAATCCAAACAACTCTTACCTTTAGTGCCATGCAGTTTAGTAGTTTCTTATCACACTGCATAAATTCCTGAAATCTCACAGACATTTGGCTGTAAAAAGCTTTAAAATATCTGATCAACTACCCTTTAGGCAATAGTTTGAGCAATGATGTCCTTAATCCTGCAAATCTGAGAGAAAACTGAAGACAACAAAGACAAGAGAAAGTGCCCTGGGTCCTTTATATCTGGTAAGTATAGGTTACAGCTTTAACTGTCAGCATTTATCCAAAAAGTGCTCTGGTTTAGTATACCAGAAAGGATACGGGGTTAGCCACTCAGGAATAAGCAATTGTGCAACTCTGTTACTTTTAATCAATGCACCTCACCAAAACTTGAATTGCAGCAAATATTACATCATTCTTGTTTTCATACAGGGAATGCTCTGCCCCGATCCTGAGGTCAGCAGCAAGTGTTTTGGTGACTTGAATGGTGCAGGGTCAGGTCTCAAGTGACACAGGATTCAGCTGCTTACTTCTGGGTTTTCAGTAACTTGATATTGCTGTGCACACAGTCCAGGAAAGGCCATGTGTAGGGATGTGACTTTACAACAGCTGGTAGGAGTGGGGGGAATCGCTTTTTAACAGTCTTGATGAAAACAGTTCTGTTTATCCACATTCTTCTCCTAAGGTGTATCACTGGGGAGTTTAATAACAAACAAGACCAAAAGGAAGTCTTATGCAATAGTGCAAATTACAAACATTATTTATGAAGTTTCATGCTTGGACATGTGAGGCTAGGCTGTTAGTCTAGAATATTTTTCTTTCTAGAGACCTGAAAGAGTGGTTTACCAAAAGAAAGACAGTTAATTACACAATATCTGTTAGTTCTATATCAATACTTTGTCCTCACATAATTCACCTCATTTCACTTCATCCTATATGATTGTTCAACCACACATGCATCAATACTTTGTCCTCACACTACTATCCTCACATAATTCACCTCATTTCACTTCATCCTATATGATTGTTCAATCACACAACATGGTCAAATTATAAAGAAATAAGTTATGGAATATTAAAAACTGAGGGGAGAAGGCTGTCTTATCAAAATATCATGGCAGCAATGAGCATTGTTTGCAGTTTGCATTAAATTAATTGAATTACTTGCATTATATATATTAACTGCACATAATTCAATTCAGTGGCCAACTTGCCTCCAAAGTCTCCTGACTCCTACCCAAACATCTTTGGGATGATTATTTCACTCTTTGCAATGGATATAACGACAGCATAAACTAGATCCAGTAGTGGTGTTAGGTGCCTAAAATATGATATAATTTATATTTTAAAAAATTTGTGACAACAAGTTGAAAGGGATATAGTTACCTACCACATAGCCACTGAAAGAATGGTGCAAAGGTGTTTCTAAGAGCTTGTCCCTGAAACTCTTTTCTCCAAAAATGGCAAATCCTAGCTTGCAGTCTGTAGCCAAAGGATTGCTTATACATACCTGGGTGATATTATTGTAAAGCACCAGGAGTCCTGGTCACCCACCATGAGTCTTTTCAAGCCTTCAGTCAAAGGAGCTGTTCTCAGACACTACTGATCAGTATGCAATGGAAGAATGCTGCTCCTCTCCCACACCTTGCTTTCAAACAACCTATACACAATGGCAAGTCCCTGGAAGCAGGAAATTGGGATCTAAAAACCCTTAGAAAAGTGGAAATTGTTTTGGCCTCTGCTTTAATGACTAGGTTATTCTCATCAGACATAAATTATACTTGCCCTTGAAATAAAATGTTAAATTTTTGTCCTGTTCCTGTTTCTTTGAAGGATTTATTTCAATAAGGAAACTGACTTTCAACATGATTCTTTGTTATATTAAACTGACCATATCACCATTACAAATTTGGAAAATATAGGTGCACTAAGTTACAGGGCCACATAAGAAGCTGGTAATTTTCTTGTACTTCTGAAATCAGATTATGTTATTTTTTAAAATTATACATTAAATAACCTATCATTAAGGTTCCGTGCAATCCAAGTATTTTGATGATTCTCTTTAAAATTTAGATGATACTATCAAGAGACAGTGCAACAATTTTATATGAATAACATTAGTGTGTTTCTGAAAATTTATTAGAAACATCCCACTGCATGGACAATGGTATTTATTACAGCTAGAGACTGAAAATATGAGTGAATTCAAAGCAGGCTGTCTAAATCTGAGATGTCAGACTGCCATTAACATATTAAAGGAAAACGAAATGGGTAAAAAACCAGAACACAAACTTAAACTCATTTTTAAATCCAGGTATTACTACTAGTTTGAAGCATCTAAGACAGGATCCATTTTTTAGCTACTTGACTTTAAGCACTTCTAAAAGGCTTGGAGCCAAAAAAAAAAAAAATTTGGATGACTGTGAGGAAAGAAAAACAACCTAGATCCAGTATTTTTGCCAGTCCTGCTGTTTGGAGACTCCCTCTACCATTTGTATTTAATTTTCCTATCTTAGTATACACCATCTTTCCAACAGCTTCTGAAAGACAAGACGTGCATCTCCCCTGACATCACCCAGCAGGAAACTACCAGAAATTAAGGGCCCAGCCTTGCAAATATATTGTCAGGTGAGTGTCAGTGGGATACCCACGTGTAAATCCTGGTTTGATCACTATGTAAAGTTGGCAACGCAGGTGTATTCTGTAAATAACCACATGTCTGCATTATACAACGCATGCATCAGCCAATTTTATTGAAGATGTTTCAACTCATACTAGGTTAAGTTATTTTATCATGCTGTTTTTAATCATTTTCTTGCCTCAACTACTCATCCTCATGTAGCTGTATGTTATGAACACTGAATTGGGCATGACATAGAGATTCTAGTGCAATTCAATCATTACAGAAAAAATGACATTCACATATGTTAATGTTTAGCCTCAATAAGAAGACAGTCAATCACTTTATACCAGGTTACATCAGATATGATTTTAATTCTTCCTCTTGTGAAAAATACTTTTCACATATTATTACTAACAAAATCACTGCAAAAATTAAATTAGTTTTACATGTTTTGAAGAATTTGTAATCCTATGAATGTAAAAATCTATGCTGTGAATGAATATTTTATTTAAATTGGAAAGAAATTAAATATTTATTTTAAAAATCAAATAAAAATGAATATACTCCCTTAGGAATCTTTCAAACCTTCATACAAAAATCACAAATCTCTTGTATCATAAGTAAACTGATTTCAATTCAGCATGATTCATGGTTGATTAATTCCAAGGAACTTAGAAGGTTGTCCTGAAGTGCTGTTTCCACATTTAAGGTGATGTTAGATCTGCTCTTTCATTGGTGTTTATCTTTGAATGAAGTGATCCGCTTCATAATTTGGATTCCCCAGAATGCAGCACAGAGAGAAAACAAGACCTACAACACAGAATTTACAGTGAGAATGAGAAACATTATATGAGGTTGGTTTGGGTTTGTTTTTTTTTTTTTTGGTTTTTTAAGTTCTATTGATCTGTAAACATAATGAATAGGTGAAAACAGAGAATTTGAGAAAAAAAAAAACAAAACAAGAATTCCAGGCATACTAATAAATTCACCTTAGAAAATATGCTTTCTTTTTTCAAATACTCTTTATTGTGGACACTCCTGTTGAATTTTGACAAATGATCAGAAGAATGCTGACACTGTAAGTTGCATGATAAGGTATGAATAGCCTTAAAAAGGATCCACAGCAAAAGTGTTCTAATTGCAATTCCCCAACCTGCTGTTTAGGATGAGATATAAGGTAGGTTGAAAACAACTTAAAAGTGCAATACTCTTTATCTTGTCCTTAGCTCTTTGCAACTTTTTTTTTTATTTGGCAAATTCCTTGAGAGATCTAATAAATTTTTTTTCAAAATTTATTTGCTGAAAACTGCATTAGGATGAGTACGAAAGATTTCAGAATAAAGTCTAAATTAGGTCATAGTTCTGTCTAGAACCCAAAATGGAGCAAGATAAAATGTGTATGCACACGGGTGCATGTAATATTTTGTATCTAACATTTTCTGAAAGAAACTTTTGTTTTTCACATAGAAAAATTTCTCTAACTTGGAAAATTGCAAAATTAAGGCAGTTGTTATTGGTTACTGAAATAAGTGAATTTTTTTTCTGTGAGTAAACCAAAACACTTTGCTTATATTGAAAGGTCATAATCATGTCATTTTTTTGCTTGTTAAAAGAAACAGAAAATTTTGACAAGTTATTTTTGAGTCAGGTTGTAATAATTCTTTTTTCAGGTCAATCTGCAATCTAAAGGTGCCAATTTGGAGCTCTAATTTTAACATTAACATAATTTAACATTCAACATTTAAAAATGCATGGCCCAAAGGTCTACTTCTGTCTTTATCTAGACAGTCACTCACTGAAGTACATGGGATCAGAATGTCCAATATAAATAATAAATTATCATAATACCCAAAAGGTACTAATTTTTCACTCAGTGAAGGCAGTGTCTGCTCTGATCCCTCTCAGAATCTTTTTGGGACAGGTACAGGCTTCATGTAATGTGTACTTTAGGTGTACACTATGCAAGTTTAGTAGCACAAGATGAAAAGAGCATAATGTAGGAGTAAGTAAAATTCAAATACAATACAATTAAAATCCCCCAATTCTCATTCCATTTTTTATCAATTTAAATTATTTTCATTGAATACTTTAATTCTACTTGAGCAGAAGTAGGCTGTCTACGGTGTTTAAAACCTCTGATGATGCTATTGGCACTGTACTTGTAGTCCTATTTGTAGGAAAAACTCATAAAGTGCTCACCAAAAGATTTTTTTTTTGTAAGAATTTCAGACTTTAGGTATGAAAGATTTAACTTCTTTTTATTTTCTTACTTTATCACAAACACCTTGTAAAGCTGTATAGCTCTATTTTTACAGCTATGGAAAGTCTTTTTAAGCAGTACTGCAGTCACACACTGCATGTTTGGTGAGATTTTTCTATGCGGAGATGCTCTGCAGAAGAAATCTAACTACAAATAACTATCTTTATTTCTGATCTGGCTATTATGCAATTGAGATGAGTGTAAATCGTGATGTACATAAAACGATGACTTACATATAACATGCTCTTACAGTGGAAAAATTCTTTGTCATGCTATCTCCAGAAACAGAACTTATCCACTTGTCATAATTAGTACTTCTTTGACAGAGTAATAAACTTCTTTCATTCCTCACCTCAGAAAGATCACTCCTATTCCTGGAAGATGCATTAAATATAGAACTATTTCATTTTCAGAAGAAGCACATTTAAGCACATTTAATGACTGAGGTGCAGGGCATTCGTAGGGGATTAATGACTGTTGGGAGATGATGATGATCACCTGAAGAAGCACAGCCATGGGCCATTAAGCCCCAGGAAATGTCCTCAGCTAAAGAAGGTTATTGCTATTATAGGATGAAAATGAACAAAATATCTTGGGTGAATTTCTGTTTTTTAAATGAAGTGATGCAATTTCTTCGTTCTTAATTAAATTCTTCACTGTGAATTTCCTAAAGCATGCAATCAATGCTTGTGGGGGAGTATTTTGAATTGCAGTTATTATATCCAGAATGGAAAATCACATACTACACACTGTGGATTTGCAAAACTAGTTTGGCTTCAATACCATAAAATATATCAATTCTATAAAAGTATTGAGTGACTGCCTATCAATGTCAGGACTGCCAATACTTGATGGAAATAATGCATTCAGGAAACAATAATGCTGCAAGGTTCTGGGAGGTGGAGGGGCTAAGAAAAACCCAAACATCAGGATAAAAAATTAAGAGGCCACATCCTTGCTTGCATGACAGCAATTCTGGCTGTCTGTACTGCTGTAATGCTGACCTGCCCTGAACAGAGCCAGCTGTACGGGGCTACCAAGCAGAAACTTGCTGTGTAGGTTGGAGTTCAGTTTCTTTTGATTACTGCTACATATTTTGGAGTTACAAGGCCTGACCCACTTGAACGAATCCTGCAATCAGGTGATGTCAGGAATGGAAAGCTGAGACGATACGTGCCAGAACTCTGAGCAGACAATAGTGTGGGCAGCAGGAAGCAGCAAAAGAGCATTCCACCAGGCAAGCTGAACTATAGTTGACCAGTATTTTTCTAATGCCCTTGGGAAAACATATTTCCTGAATCCTATGTGCAGATATTTTGTATTTTCTACTCAACACTCTGACATGCGAATGGGTTAGGGTTTTTTTTCATTGTTTGGCTTTGGGTTATTTCACTTTCTAAATTATTTTCGCAGAAATACTCATTCCTTCTTATATTGTCCAAAGCCACTAATATTTGTCCTTTGATAAAAATATTCACATACTGGTTTCACAATTCATCTGGTTTTGCAATAAAAAGAGAGAATTTAGTATTATACCTTTTTCTTTTTTACACTGAACAAAGCTCCTCCACCAACAATATGATATAAGAACAATAGTTTCACTTCTGCCTTAAAATGAAAAATTACTGTGGACAGTATTCATATATGGAAGAAGTCTAAAAGCAGGATTTCTCACAACCCTATATTTAGCTAAGTTAAATGCAAACTTTTTGCCACTTTAATATAAACACTTGTTACATTTACCTGTTCAAGTAACTACAGATTAATTATAGACTGTCCTTTAGACTGTTGGAAGAGCACAAATATTTACATTACCTCCTTTCATATAGTCTATTTCCATACAGCCCATATTCTCTCCCTGAATTGTAGAAATGCAAATAACATTATTCACAAGAACAAAGATGGCTTAACTAATGGATTGACTGCAGGACTGAGTCTGCTCTTCACAGGAAATTCCCACTGGAGCAATCGAAGTTTATTAGGCTGTAAAGTACTTTAAAATCATTAGCTGAATTCAGGCACCCACTTCTGCATGATTAGCTTTGTTGCTGAACACTAATGTTGTTTTCTGCCATTTTCTCTTTTGTAATGTCTTTGTATATCTGAGATGCCTAGACATGATGTCTTTCTCTTCTGCAGATTTCATCTGGATAGAATTAGAACACTTTAGACATTGGTCTAAAAATGTAGACAAATATCCAAAGATAGTTCTGCTTTAAGGAGGGGGAAGAGTCTCAAACCACACCACCTCAGATCCTTTCCAACCTTAATCATTCAATGATTCTCTGACATTTCTCAGATTCTGCCCAGACATGTTTGCACCAAATTTTGCTGCAGAGACAACCTGCAACTGTTATTCACAACTTCTGGGGTACAACATCATATGAATGGGCTTATTACATTGTATTCTCTGAATACCTCTGTGCTGGATAACATATTCTTAGCTCTGGAGAGGGCTCAGGAAGATCAGTACATCCATACATTTAATTAAGTTTGCTGTTCACATCATAAAGTGGATCTGATACTGGAAAATATGATAAACAATTAGTCCTCTCAATGTGATGCTGAGCATTGTCAATGTGATGCTAGAGTAGTTTAACTGATACTAAACATGATTAAGGCTCTTTTTATGTTCTTTACATACAAATTTGGACATGGCTTCTTCACAGGTACAAGACATAAGTTCATACCATCAATAGTAATGATAATGTAATTTTTAGACTTTGTCTGAGACTCTGTCTGGACTGTGTCTGGGTAATGTCACTGTCCTTTCAAACTAAAGATGGAGATCATAAACTGATACAAAGGCTGAAGGCTGAAAATTTTCTAATTAATAACAAAATGATTGAGCAAACTACTGCAGTTTTCACAAGTGCCCAAATGATGCATTTTTCACCAATGCCATATTTTTTTCCCCATTTCTCTGCAGATGACTGTTACAGGTGCTGAAATACACAGAAGATATGGAAAATTTATGTCTCATAAGTAGGGGAAGATGTTTACTATTTCTGGAAGTCAGGATTTGGATAACAAATGCATGTATCTTCATTCTCAGTACAATGTTTGGAGACGAGCAGTCTGAGGCTAGTAGAGAAATGCCATAACATTCATAGCAAATCCAGAAATCACTAATCTTGTACAGTGCACAGACCAAGAAGACTGCACTTTAAAAAAAGTTGCAATAATAATAGATGGAAAGAGAAGCTAGGAAACAGAAAGGTACTTCCTCTGTGTAATGACTCTCTTATACTTGGAAATATATGCAGAAGAAAGAGGGAAGCCAATTTTTCTCTTTTTTTGGTTTAAGAACGGTGGATACAAGGGAACAGGGACAGCTACAATAGCAGTGGCTTCACAGCTTTTGTTCAGGATTTCTGTAAAAGCAGCAGATGTTTGGAAATTCTCCATAAGGGCTCATGATACACCATCAGACTACTGGTGCAGCAGGGCTCACAGATCCAGCATGCCCCTGACCTAGAACAAGGTGTGTATCTGATGTCCCTGCTCACTGCAGGGAAGGTGGAAGCAGACTATCTCTAGAAGTCCCTTC